TAATATTTTTTTAATTATACATTAAAACAGGGATGCACAAATCCCATGAGCTCCGCATGCTCCTTAAAAATGACAGCTGCCTCCTAACTTTAGAATTTTTCTCTATTTTAGCCCAGGAGCTGGAAAAGTATCAGTACATGTACAGTACTTGGTATCTAAACATCCCTAATAGAAAGTGAAGTGACTGTGTGGCTATAATGTATGGATCACAGGCCGGGCTTTCTAGCACAATAACAAAGCCTTTGATGTAAATGTATTTAAACAGGCAACCCTCTTTGATCCCCTGGCTCTAGCAGCCATTTGCACATGAGGAAAAAAAGAAAATAAGCAGCCTCTGTGTGGCCACTCCACAGCTAAGCAAGCCCAGACTGGAAAAGAAAAGATTTTCAAGTGGCAGTCTTTGTGAAGCCTTTGTGAGATTCATACAGACTTAGTATAGACTCCCCCTGACTCCTAAAATGATTCATGATTTATATTTTCAGATGAGAAAGTATGGCCTCACAGGTAATAGTGTGCTCACCCAAAATAAGCAGGCTGTTCCCATTGTATAGTGCAAATTCTTCTTTTATGCCCCTGGGCTCACTGTACATCCAGAACTGTTGGTTTACAGCACATAGGCAGCCTAATAATATAGAACTATTTGTTCTAAATACAACTGTTTTCAGTCTTATTGAGCAATTGTTGGTGTTATGCATGGAAACAATGGCTTCTATGGAGTAGGGCTTAGGGTGCAGCTAGAAAGTAAAACGTGGTTATGGTTAGGTAGGCTAAAAGAAAATGTAAAGCCCTTCACTAAACCAGTGTGAAACACAATAGTCTTAATCCCTCCTCATGTATCATTTCCCCCTCCTCTTTTAGATTGTAAGCCCTCAGGGGCAGGGCCCTCTTTACCATCTTGTCTTGAATTGTGATGTCTTCCTTATATTGTAAAGCGCTGTGCAAACTGTTGGCGCTATATAAATACTATGTAATAATAATCCAACTTTGTGTGTGACAAATGTGTGCAGCTCTCTTCTTCCAGTACAACCTATAGAAAATGTCAAAGCTGTGAAACACCTCCATGCTAAAAGAGCAGGAATAAATATTGATTGGTAACTTTTGTGGTTAATACTAAGCTACTTTGTATATAAGTTGTTAAACATTATATGTATTTGTTGCAGCTTTTCCTTCACAGTGTCTTTGGATACAGAGGCATTGTTCTGTTCCCATGGCAAGCAAGACTTTATGATCGAGATGTTGCTTCTCCTGTCTCAGAAAAGTGAGTTTGGTATAAATATTTTTTAAAATTTATATGTCAGCTAAATCTTATTATGTATCGCTTGCTCTTGGTTCATCTAAAAAGTATGTGTGTTGCATTTGTAGGACAGAGACTTCAGCGACTCACGGATCCAAAGAGGTCAAGGGCAAAACTCATACCTACTATCAAGTACTAATAGATGCCAGAGACTGCCCACATATAGTAAGTATGAGATACAAAATTATATTGGGAGAAACAAAACATAATTCTAAGGAGAGTTACCATTCTAAATTATTTTCATTGCATTTAGCGAAATGTGGGATTTTACAAATGAGGGTCCTAGGCCCAGGATATTCCCCCCTAGGATTAGGATTTTTTTTTTTATGTTGGGCCTGTTGCTCTATTGGCTGTTGATCACAGATCCTCCCTCTCCTGCATGGGTTTATATCAAGGTTATGTGTTTCATGAAATTACACCTTTTACTTTCTACAAACTCAATAAGGGCCTGTTCACACGACGTCCGTTTTGTGTGCTGACCGGCTCTGTACTGCTGCTGCACTCAAAATGCATCCCAATGTATCCCTATGTGTTTTATGGGCTCCAGTTCTCACGTGCGCAGTCCGTTCAGCTTACGACAGAAAAAATACTGCATGTCACATTTTGTCAGGTCCGGAAACGCAAACACGTCCAAAACGCACTGCACTGCAGCTAACATACTAACAGCCCCACTCCAGAAAAAAAAAAAAAACTTTTACTTGAACGCGGCAAAAACGCACTACATCAGTCTGCAGATCCGCACCTGATCAGGACCTGATATCATGTGAACAGGCCCTCAAACCTGTCATACCTGATACCTATGCACAATCTTTGCTTGCCTGTTAGACTGCAGACAGTGATACATTGTTAAATGTATGTAAACAAAATCCATAGGGAGCATCTGACCAAGGCCTGGCACCTTGATTTTGTACAGCTGAGAAACTGCTGTATGTAGCCAGGTACGTGAGTCAACATAACAGGTAACAGGCAGGATATATGTCTAGAGTGTAAGGCTGGCCATAGACTTTATCAATAATTTTTTTTTGTTCAACTCGCGAATTGACGCCAGTCCTCCATCAACACAAACAGTGTGTTGATTTAGGAATTGCTGCTGTTTGCATTGTATTTTGACAGGTGTCACCGGCACCTGTCAGAATACCTGATCAGAGCGGGCAACTCATTGACTGACCGCTCTGATCGCACAAAGATTTTCCAGCCGGCTCCTTTGATCAGCAGATCGAGGAATGCCGACTGAAAGGGAGCCGACAGCCCCACACACTGTGCGAATTTCGGCCGGTACACTAAAAACCATCGAAATTCGCCTAGTGTATGTGCAGCTTAAACATACTGCCAAGTTGATAGATCGTTATCTGTACAGGCATTTATTTTATTTACAACTGGCCTATGCTCTGCTAATGTATAACTTTAGGTTTAAATCTCAATTCTACCTTTTTAGTTTTTATCTGTTCAATGAAGTCAGGGTGTGAAAAAATCAAGTTTTCAAAAATGAGTCTACTGGTGGTCCAGGGAACGTGGACATTGTTGATTGGAACACATTATTTATGACTGCAGGGTCTTGTTGGACTGCATTTACATTGTACTTTTGAAGATGTCATTTTTTTTTACGTCACTTTAACAGATATTAAAACAATCAGACAAGGTTTCAAGTTTAGTTACCACTGTGAGATTGTAATGAGATTAGTGATTTTTAGATCATACACTATTAGGCCCCGGCAACGTTCCAGCAACAATCGCACGGCCTTCACCGTCGGGCTGCATGCAAAAAAAAAACCGCGCGACATCAGCGGGAAAAGGGGTCCAGCACAAGCGATAGCCAGCTTTACAATAGAACAGCTCAATTGAATATCATTGAACGGCAACTTCTCGCGATATCGCGTGGCAAATTTGCGTGATTTTGTGGCGGAAATCGCGCGGTTAAACGCCTGTGTGAATGGGTACTAAGGTGGAGCTCTTATTTGTATTGTTCAAATGAATTGACTGTGTTTTATGTTATTGTTACAACCTAAATGTCCTCGCTTTGTACAGTAATTTGGTGGATGGTACTAAATAAAACAAAAGTGGTTTTATTTTTTTCTCTTTGATGGGTTACTGCACAGCGTTGCTCTTCGCACAATGGTTAGCAATCCCTGGTGTGTTTATAAGAATACAAAGTTCTGATTTCTATTTTCCTGTTAGTCACAGAGGTCACAGACGGAGGCAGTGACGTTTCTTGCAAATCATGATGACAGCCGGGCTTTGTATGCAATTCCCGGTAAGTGAGAGAATGAAATATCAGTTAAAAGGCCAGTCCACCCATAACTGGTACGTTTTAGTCTTCTTGAAAATCTCTTCATTGCGAATACCCAAACAATGCAGATAGTCAATAATTCAATCCAGCAGACTGTAAATATAGATGTAGAAGGACTGATTTTATTAACTGTTTTATGACCAGGCCAAATTGAGCAGTGTCAGCATGCATCTGTTAAAGGAGAACTATGAGGTGAGTGCTTTTCACTCACCTCATAGTTCTTCTGTCACGGCTCTCTGCCGTGACAGGGGGAGGGGCTGGATTCCCCCCTCCCCGCTCTGATCCGCCAGCGCTGACTGGCGGAACGGACGGGGGAGGGGGCGGGTACAGCTGGCTCTGCCTCTAGATAGGCAGAGCCAGCTGTCACGCAGCTGGGCGGATCCCGTCGTCTAAGTCGGGATCCGCTGCTGCGTCTCAGTATACCGCGAGCTGTAGCTTGCGGTATACTGAGCTTAGGGTAACAGGAGGACGCTAGTTTGTGTCCTCCCCTTACCCTAAGGAGAACTATGGGGAAAAACACTGACCCCATACTTCTCCTTTAACTAAACAATAACTCGGACTAATTTGCATACCTAAATGTAAATATGTATGTAAATGTTTTCAATGTTTGTTTGTTTTTTTGTATCTGACAATTACAGTATTAAGATGGCACTGCAGACACAACTGCTGCCTGATTTGTTTCAATGAAACCTCCAGCCTGCATGTGACAACTGTCATAACTTGCAGTGATCACTCAATCGGGAAACTCCTCTGCCTGGTTTCCAATCATCGGTGGGGACTCGAGCTGCCAGTGACAGCTGAGATTGAGAGCCATCAGTCTTTCAAAGTATCGGCTGATTATTTATAAAGATATCCCCAGCATGGTGCACCGTGCTGGGAAAAGTTTATATACAGATTGCAGGTGGGAAAGGGGTTGATATTGTCTGATGTGGTTTTGCTTGCTTCCTAGGCATTTGTAAGAAGCAATATATCATAGGGTTATGGTAACATTATTAAAAGTGCTTTACAAATTTACATGTCCCTTTTGTATAATTCCTTTTTGCTATCGTCTGTCCACAGGTTTAGATTATGTAAGTCATGAAGACATACTTCCGTACAACTCTACTGATCAAGTTCCCATACAGCATGAACTGTTTGAGAGATTCCTGAGTTTTGAACAAGCCAAAGGTAAAACAAAATATACATTTTGATTCCCTTATGCAGGTTAAAATGAAGCTCGAGTTCTCTGATTTTATGACCATTTTACTCTTGCAGTGCCACCATTTATTGCACGGGAAACATTGCGTGCTTGGCAGGAAAAGAATCATCCGTGGTTGGAGCTGTCAGATGTTCACAGGGAGACTACTGAGAATATTCGGGTCACTGTGATCCCATTTTACATGGGGATGAGGGTCTGTACTATGTACTAATTTTTCACTGTGGTGTGTTGGCTTGGCTTTAAAAGAAATCTATAAAAAATACCAAATATGTGTGTGAGAAGCCTCGGATAGAAGTTGCAGTCCCCTGATCCCCTAAGCTACTTAGTAAGTTTGGGTTAGTAAAGATAAATCTCTGAAGTCTTTTCACTGTAATGATGTCACTACCATGGCAACAGTGGTAACTTTTCTCTAAGGCTACTCATGTAGGTATCTGTGTTGAGAATGATTTCCTTTCTGGCACATGTTGGATGCAGTATGCATTTTTTTTAACATAGTTTGAATTAGGGATGCACCGATACCGGTATTTCGTTACCGAGTACGAGTACCGATGGTTTTTTTTTTCTCTACTCGCCGATACCGAGTACCGGAAGTCCCATTCAGGAAGCCAGGCGGTGTGTAATGACTCGCCACCTGGCTTCCTGATTAGCCGTGCAGCATGTAAAGACTCGCCACCCGGCTTCCCTATTAGTAAGGAAGCCGCCCCCACGCTTGGAGCCAGCTTGCTGGCCAATCATGGAAGCCGGGCACCATGTAATGATGCAGCGCCCGGCTTCCTGATTGGCCAGAAAGCCGGCTCCATGCTCCCTCATCATGAGGTAATGAGGGAGCATGAAGCCGGCTTCCCGGCCAATTAGAAAGCTGGGCGCTGCGTCCTTACACGGCACCCAGCTTCCTGATTGGCCAGCTTCCCAACCAATCAGGAAGCCGGGCAGCGCGTCATTACACGCTGCCCGGCCCCCTGCTACAGGAAGTATCGGGGCTAGTACTCGCCCAAATACACAGTATCGGCACCGATACTAGTATCGGTGCATCCCTAGTTTTAATCAAGGTTATGCATTGTAGTAAAACACCAACCATAACTTTTTCCCTTTTTATTTTTTTTGTACAGAAGGGTTAAAACCACTGGCGGATTTTATTAGTGCTTGTGGTGTTGCTTGGCAGATTCACTTTGACTTCATGTTGTAGTTGCAGCTGTCACTGTGATATGAGGTGGGTGGAAATCCCAGCGTTTAGTTGTTTCACAGGACTTTTGGGGAAATCACTGTATTAAGAGGAGGGATACCTGTGTTGGTGGCAATGGTTGAAGGTTGGATTTCTCCTCATTTTGCTCACTTGTCATGTCTCCACGAGCAGTTATTGTGTTTTCCTATATTTATTTATTTTTTATTTTATTTTTTTACTAAGGTATTTTATGACGTACAAGTTATTCCTGCAAACTTTTACATTTACCAATAAGTCTGCCTGTAGTGAAGTTTATACTTTGAGCGTAATGCAGTAATTATTGTATTAACTGTGTGTAATCTAACATTTACCTTCTCTGTTCCTTTATAGGAAGCCCAAAATTCACATGTGTATTGGGTAAATATCTTTTGATTTTCAGTGTTTTCTATTCCCATTCTTAGTAAAGGTTCCTTAAAGCTGAGCTGTTGGTGCAAGCCAATCAAGTCAATGGCCTGGAATAAATATGCAAGTTGGGAGATCAAACTTTCACTGGGTCATTGTTTATACAACAGATCCGGGCAGAATCATTCGTAACCCTTTCAGTGGGGGTACACCCGCACTTCAAGGGTTAAATGCGCATTTTCCTCTAGGGATGAAAATAAAAAAAGTTATATTCACTCGAACTGCGCAGCCATCTGTTAGACCGGCCCATGGAGTTTCTCTCTCCACTCCAGTGGTCTATGGTCCTATTATTGATCACATTCTATACAGTGTATAGGACGTGAGGACATCCAGGAACTTTCCATCGCTGGAGCGTAGGAGAATGCAGGCTGCAGGGACCAGTCTTAACAGCCAGCCGGCTGTGAGGTTCAGGTGAGTATAACTTTTTTTTATCTTCATTAGGGATGCACCAATACCAATATCGGTGCCGATGGCGAGTATTTGATCGAGTAGTCGTACTCGCCCAAATCGTCCCATACTTACCCCCATACTTCCAATCAGAGGGAGATTTCCTGTGGCCGGCAGTGCCACGAGGGAACATGGAGTCGGCTTCCCGGGCAATCATCAGGAAGCTGGGCTTTGGTAAGGATCTGGCTTCCTGATTGGCCGGGAAGCTGGCTCCATGCTGATTGGCTGGGAAGCAGGCTTCCCAGCCAATCAGGAAGCCAGGCGGTGGGTAATGACACGCTGCCTGGCTTACTGATTGCCCCGGAAGCCAGCTCCATGCTACCGGAAGTACCGGTATAGGTACTCAAAACAACGGTATCTGTGCATCCCTAGATAAAATTCAGCACTTAACCTTTGCAATGCGGGGGTAGCCTCACGGCAAGAGTTAAGAGTAATTCTGCCTGGAGATCTTCTTTAACTAGGCACATGAAGAGGAAATGAAGAACTATGGTGGCTCCCGTTATTTCTATCCTTCCCAGTAATGGACTTTTGTTTCTGGGCATTTATACTGATCATAGAGTTGACATAACGGTGGAACTCGAATAATTAGAATATCGTGCAAAAGTAATTGCAGCAAGTGCTGCAAAAGGGGCCCAAACCAATTACTGAGCACATATGCATGCTTGTACTTTTCAGAGGTCCGATATTGTTCTATGTACAATCCTTGTTTTATTGATAGCATGTAATAATCTACTTTTTGAGGTTGTGGATTTGGGGTTTTCATGAGCTGTAAGCCATAATCATCACAATTATGACAAATCACGGCTTGAATTATCTTGCTTTGCATGTAATGAGTCTATCTCATATATTAGTTTCACCTTTTAAGTTGCATTAGTGAAATAAATGAACTTTGCACGATATTCTAATTATTTGAGTTTCACCTGTATATAGTGCAGTGCTTAAATGGTTCAGTAAGGTATCTTTACTATAACATTTTAATGTTTGCTTTGCCCTTCGCAGTGGCGTTACTGCATCCGCTTGGAGAATCTCGGTGCTGAAGTTGTTCAGCTGAGAGAACGTCACTGGCGGATTTTCAGTCTTTCTGGAACTCTAGAAACTGTGAGAGGTCGAGGTGTTGTTGGCAGGGTAAGTTTTATGTACACTGTAGATTGCAGTGGTCCTACGAGTTAAGTTAATTTATCTACCTGCTCATGGACCTTCATAAAACCATGCAGGCATGTTAAATTTGGTTCAATATCATTGATTTTTATCGATGTGCTTTTTACACTCGGACTGCATTTTGGTGTCTTTCAGGAGCCAGTTCTGTCAAAGGAGCAGCCAGCTTTTCAGTACAGTAGTCATGTGTCTCTACAGGCCTCCAGCGGCCATATGTGGTAAGTTACATTGTGCTTGTATGTAAGCTGAAATGTTACATTCATTGTTTGGATTAATGAAATTCAAAAGTCCAATTACATATTTTCTTGGTGTCCAATAGAAAAATATAGTAAACTAAAGAAATTGAATGCAATATATAAACCATGTACAAAAACCTTAGGCAGAAGGGTACATTCTTCTTCTGCCTTTATTTCCATTATTTCTAATAGGGGTCAACAGCACATGGAAGGGGCATAGTGAAAGAAATTTAGAAGAGGATGTAAACCTAGCACTGGCTCCCAGCAGACCTGGCCTACCAGCTCTATCCGTTTGCAGTCTGTAAATTGACTCATTTATGATGAGGGGAGTGAGCTAGGCCATCTGTGTTTTAAAGGGGATTGTATTATGCAAGTCCAGCTTATAGTCTTCTCACCATGATCATTTTTTGGGGGGGGGGGGG